TTCCCGATCTCAGAACTTTCAGGAGAATCCTTTTAAATCAAAACCTGGCAACAAAAATTTTGACCCATTTTTCGATATTTTTTTAAGGGGTACCATCATGATTTTGGCCAAAAATTGGGTCAAATTTTTGGTTTCCTATTTTTGCTCCATTTTGACGCAACTAAAATCAGATTAGTTCCCTGATTCGTAAATGGTATTCCGTTTTTCGATCGGTTACGAAATAGTTAAGATATTCACTAAAAAGTTCAGATTTTGGCCAAGTTAAAAAATATTGAAAACGCTGACCCACTTTTCCAATTTTTGGATGGAAAAATACTTATAGCTCGGCTAATACTTGGCAGATCCAGAAATGTCATACCTTCCCGATCTCAGAACTTTCAGGAGAATCCTTTTAAATCAAAAACCTGGCAACAAAAATTTTGACCCATTTTTCGATATTTTTTCATCATGATTTTGGCCAAAAATTGGGTCAAATTTTTAGTTTCCTATTTTTGCTCCATTTTGACGCAACTAAAATCAGATTAGTTCCCTGATTCGTAAATGGTATTCCGTTTTTCGATCGGTTACGAAATAGTTAAGATATTCACTAAAAAGTGTATAAAAAGTTCAGATTTTGGCCAAGTTAAAAAATATTGAAAACGCTGACCCACTTTTCCAATTTTTGGATGGAAAAATACTTATAGCTCGGCTAATACTTGGCAGATCCAGAAATGTCATACCTTCCCGATCTCAGAACTTTCAGGAGAATCCTTTTAAATCAAAACCTGGCAACAAAAATTTTGACCCATTTTTGGATATTTTTTTAAGGGGTACCATCATGATTTTGGCCAAAAATTGGGTCAAATTTTTAGTTTCCTATTTTTGCTCCATTCTGACGCAACTAAAATCAGATTAGTTCCCTGATTCGTAAATGGTATTCCGTTTTTCGATCGGTTACGAAATAGTTAAGATATTCACTAAAAAGTGTATAAAAAGTTCAGATTTTGGCCAAGTTAAAAAATATTGAAAACGCTGACCCACTTTTCCAATTTTTGGATGGAAAAATACTTATAGCTCGGCTAATACTTGGCAGATCCAGAAATGTCATACCTTCCCGATCTCAGAACTTTCAGGAGAATCCTTTTAAATCAAAAACCTGGCAACAAAAATTTTGACCCATTTTTCGATATTTTTTCAAGGGGTACATCATGATTTTGGCCAAAAATTGGGTCAAATTTTTAGTTTCCTATTTTTGCTCCATTCTGACGCAACTAAAATCAGATTAGTTCCCTGATTCGTAAATGGTATTCCGTTTTTCGATCGGTTACGAAATAGTTAAGATATTCACTAAAAAGTGTATAAAAAGTTCAGATTTTGGCCAAGTTAAAAAATATTGAAAACGCTGACCCACTTTTCCAATTTTTGGATGGAAAAATACTTATAGCTCGGCTAATACTTGGCAGATCCAGAAATGTCATACCTTCCCGATCTCAGAACTTTCAGGAGAATCCTTTTAAATCAAAAACCTGGCAACAAAAATTTTGACCCATTTTTCGATATTTTTTCAAGGGGTACCATCATGATTTTGGCCAAAAATTGGGCCAAATTTTTAGTTTCCTATTTTTGCTCCATGTTTAAGCAACTATAAGCAGATTAGTTCCCTGATTCGTAAATGGTATTCCGTTTTTCGATCGGTTACGAAATAGTTAAGATATTCACTAAAAAGTGTATAAAAAGTTTTGATTTTGGCCAAGTTAAAAAATATTGAAGAGTTTCTGCTCAGATTCCACAAAAATCAAGTTCAGTCAAGACATTCCACTAGTGTAACCATTAAAAACCGCCTTCATGCTATTACCATTTGAACAGCATTTAAATTAAATGCTTTTATATGCCATCAGGGACTCGGCAACTCCTCTCCACTCACACTTTTCGTGGGACGCTCTCATGCCAGACCTACCAGTTGCGTAGTTTCCTAGGTTTATGTTAAGTGTTTGCTCCGCCACGCCCCTCCTCACTCCGCCTCCCAAAGTCCTCGTCTCGATTTGGAATCGAGTGTGTAATTGGTTTTGTGGCAACCACCCGTCCAACCCCAACCCACTCAGACACTTTTGAAATTGCAGCAAGGAAGGACTTTGTTTCCTTAGTTTTCCATCACATACATTATGCATATGGGCAAGTGTTTGTTTATATGCGTGTCTGTGAGCTGGCAGACATGGAGAAACTTGAAAACATGTATAAGGCGCTCTAATTAATTGTTAATGAGCCATTTGGACGGATTATTGGGGTTGTAACGATTTGTAATGACACCTAAAACACATCTCGCACTTGCGAATTATTAAATGCCCCATCACATAATCCCATTTGAATTATTTAGGATGGCCTCGGATCATCTGTTCAGTGTTCAGTCGTTTGAATGTCATTAGCATGTATCTCGACAAATAGGGATTTTGAGTTCATTAATTTAATTACGAACTTAATTCTGTGAATTGGCAAATGGGTTTTCAATGCAAAATACAAACTAATATAGGTAATCATATATGTAGGATTTAAAGTTTCAAAATGTATCTTCTTTGTAGAGCGCTAATAGTCCTTTGTTGGTTCTGACAACTATTTAATAAATATTTTAAAATGTAAAACTTGCAAAATTTTTCCGAATATCGCGAAGAGTCTGCACTTTTTTAAGATTATCTCCTTCTTCTTTGGAACTTTTCTCTTTTTCATCTCATCTGACTGTCAACTCTTTCGCGGCAAATTAAATTAAATCATAATTTCAATTACAAGAAAATTGACCACAAAAGCGGCCAGCGGTCATTACTCTGCCTATCTGGCTCTTATTCTCCGCCCACGCCCCATGCCGCACAATTCATTAACACTTCAAAGTTTCTGCCCCAAAGAGGGAGTGGGAGTGGGGGTGGTACGATTGGATGAAGCGGGATAGCATGCAACAACACTCGAGGCGTTCGTTAATTTGTTAGACGAACAACAAGCTGCTGTCGCCTCTAAGGTTCTGTGGCTAGAAAAGCTCCTCACATTTCCTACACAGCCGCCCACCCCACAATCGCTGAGAAAAATCTCACAGCCTCCGGCCAAAGGCCAGCCAACAAATGGGCGGAAAAGAGCAAGAGCTACCGGGCGGAGAAAGAGAGGGGCGATGGATGCCGCACCGCAACCGGAAAGAACTATTGTTCCGGAAAAGTATGCCCGGCTAGTTACGAGAAGCGGAGCTGCAGAAAAAAAGCAAAAATGATTTCGCACAAACTTTTCTGTTTAGTCAATCATTTTAATTAAGTAATTTTTTTTTTTCGCCTACTTGTCGTAAAAGTTTTAATAGCAGGCTAGCGGGAGGGCTAGTGGGGGGCCTAGGAGGTGGGTTAGTACATACAAAACTGCATTTTGCGGTTAATTATAATGTTGGGCCCGATTACATTTGCCATGTTGTTGACTGGACGGGCGGCCCAGGACTCTGGACTCTGGACTCTGGACTTAGGAGCCAGGACTGGTGACTTTTCTCCAGACCAGTTAATTGCCGAGATTTGAAGTTAGTTAAATGTGGCACAAGTTGTTTGCAGCCGCCTTGTTTTGTTCCCCACTGGGGTTCAGGTCATAAAAAGGCAATAAAAAGTTGCTCGAAACTTTTATTAGCCGCTGATCAGGCTTCGCCGCCTCACAACTCCACGCAGAAAAAAAATAAGCTACTAATTGAATTTTAGGGAAAATGATTAGAAAACATATGTCTATCGATGGCTTATTTTTCATGTTAAAAGCTTTAACACCTCTTTTTTGAAAACTAATTTCTTAAAGGCGGAAAAAGGCTTTGCAATCACTCTGTAATCTTCTACTACCCACTGACTCTTTAATTGCAAGTTTGTTGTTCATTTTATCCGTCCGCGTAATTAATTAAGTTTAGTTCTGCATCATGGAAATTTAAGCAAAATCAATGAATCAGCTCGGGCGAAGCAAATTCCAGTTCTTCACTTCATTCCGATCCAGGACTATCTCCGCCACGCCCACCCAGCAACGCCTACTGCCCCAATTTTCTTTCGCCAAAGTTGAGAAACTTTCAACCCGGCAACGCATCGAAGTTTCAACTCCTCCCTCTGATTCGTGGTGGCAGGAGTGGATGGCTGCAGGTGGATGCGCCTTGCATTTCAAGTTCTAGCTGCTCCTTCTGCTTGCCCCCCCCCTGCCCCTCGCCACTTTGTAGCTCTTGTCCTGGAGCCATACGCTTGATTTCCTAACTAAGCACGCAAATGAAGCGTGTGCCCATCAAGGATGCGACTCTATCTCTCTGCGGTTGCACATCCCCCACATATACATATACATATATATGGGGAGGATTCTACATCCTCCTGCTAGGGGGTACCAGGGAACAGGAATCGTAATACGTGGAGAAAGCCACAGAGGAGGGCGAGGCAGGGAACAGGATCTGAGCCCGGGGGGCGAGCTTAAACCGTGCTTAATCGTAGAAATTATGCAATTGCCAGACTGCAGATACCTAAACCCCAAGCAACAGTGGGTCTAAGATTAGGAAATAGTATTTTTTGTTAAATTTTTAAAAACTAAGAAATAATAATAATGAAATAAATTTTAAACATATAGTTTTTAATTAAATATAATACCTACACGTACATACACAAGACCTCTCTCGATTCATCTCTCAGTATCTTCCAACCTGAAGCCCCACATCCATAACATTTCTGAATCAAATATAATATTCTCCGACTGCCTGCCAGCCCCATTAGACCAATGATAGCCCGTGCTCCGGCTCATGTGTCTTGGCCAAACACACCTGACAATTTGGCAGCGCCAACTGTCGCCAAAGTTTATTAGAAGCGAAGCTCTGACTCTCTGAGGGTGGAGACTCCGGGGCCTCCGGGTGCGGCTGGGGAGAACGTGTTGGAGCAATTAGCAGATCGCACATCTAGCGCTGCCGCCGCCACACCACCGACCGCCGACTGAGGTGGCCTATATATATAGGCCAGGCCACCACTCGCCAAAACTCAGTTGATGTGTGTGGAGGTTTTGTTTTGTCCCATCGACTGTCCAATTGGAAATCGCAGCTAGAGAAAGCCAAATGGCGGCCACCAAGTACGATAGCTTTGAAAAAATATGGTCGGGACCGAAGGACAAGGAGTACTACGGGCCGGACATGACCCTGGGGGAGGTGGCCCTGATAATCCTACGCCTTTACTCGGACAAAGTGATGCAGGTCTTCGATCCCACGGGTGAGCAGCTAACCGGAGGACAGCTTTTGGAGCAGAGTCGCCGGCTGGCCCATAGTTTTCAGAGGCTCAAGCTGCAGCGCGGCGATGTGGTTGGAATCTCGGCCAGGAATACAACATATCTCACCGAAGTGGTCATCGCAGCTCTGCTGAACGGCACTCCTATTAACCCTCTGCATCCGGAATTCGATTCGGGTAAGAAATCTAGTACTTGCTTCTAAGTCGCACAAGTACTGTTTCCTCTTGATTTTCCAGAAACCACGGCCTATATGTACGAGGTCACCAAGCCCAAGGTCATTTTCTGCGACCTGGACAACTATGAGACCTTGAAGGCGGTGAAAAGTAGTCTCAAATTCGAAACGGAACTCATCCTCCTAACCGGAACCATTCCTGGGGTGCGTAATGTTCAGGATCTTCTGGCAGACGATGGCACAGAGTACAACGAAAGAACACTGTAGGTACATCTTAATCCAGATGAAAGAAGACTCCCAATGTTGCCCCTTTTTGTTACAGCTTTGCCTGCCCGAACCTGAGCGGCGACGACACGGCCTTCATCATCACCTCCTCGGGCGTAACCGGTTTGCCCAAAGGGGTGACGCGTTCGCACCGCAGTCTCCTGAACAGTGCCAAGATGTGAGTAGATCGTGCCAGCCCTTAGAACTGACCCCTAACGGAGGTTGACCAGTCCCCAGCTCTTCACCTCGGAGACGGTACTCTTCTGCTTCAGCCCGCTCTACTGGATCAGCTGCATCTTCACGATGCTCGCTTCGCTGGTGAATGGATGTCGTCGGATCATAACCAACCGTCCCTACAGCGTGGAGTACTTCGCAGAGCTTGTGGAGCGACATCAGGTCAGTTTCGTACTCACGGTGCCCCACCAAATGGCCATGTTGGCCAAGAGTCCCCAGCGAATAGAGCTGGCAGCTAGGATGCAGTCCGTCAAGTCATTCGTGTGCAGTGGATCGAAGGTTCCCGTGAGTATTTGGCGGCAGTTGTACGAGCTTCTGGGAGCAGACAGGTTTGCGGTGCTGTATGGTCTGTCGGAGGTCGGCGGCATTTCCAAGAATGTGGGGGGGCCGCTGGGTTGCGAGGGAAAGCTTCTGCGAAACATTCAGGTGCGCCTCGTCGATGGGCAGGGGCATGCCTTGGGTCCCAACCAGACGGGGGAGATTCTGGTGAAATTGAACTTCCGATGGGGTGGCTACTATCACAATCCCCAGGATACTCAGACGATCGTCACTCCCGACGGAAAATGGCTGCTGACTGGAGATCACGGCTACTTCGACGACGATGGCTGCTTGCACTTCCAAACCCGGGACACGGACGTCTTCAAATACAACCACTTCCCCATCTACCCGAAGCAGATCGAGGACGTGATACTCCACCTGTCAGGTGTCCACGAAGTGGCGGTATTCGGGATACCGGACGAGGTCTCCACCAATCTCACCGCCTGCGCCGTAGTCCGCGAAGAAAACCAGTTGGGAGAGAAACTCACGGATAGGGACGTCAAGGCGATCGTTGAGCAGCATCTAAGCGAGGCGTTCCACATAAGAGGTGGTGTTTTCTTCGTAGACACTCTCCCGAAGACCCAAAACCAAAAGATCCAACGCAGGCGAATCTGGCCCGAACTAAGCGAGGCAACTACCCATTTGTGAGCAGTTTTTTAGGAAAAATAAAAGTCAGCTGCTGACGAGAGTCGCAGCCCAAAAGAAGTAAACAGTGTGAATCACTCGGAAAGGTGGCCAAGACATTGAAAAGTTTCCGTTTCTTCGGTGTCTGGTGGACGGCCGTTTTTCATTAGCGGGACTAGAAGCGGGACCGAGACGCGAATGAGTAAATCAGCATCTATTTTAGATGACACCGGCGACATCTTGGAGAGTCGCAACGTGTCCGACTAATTATCAGCTCCGCTTTGTTTCCTCATATCAATCCGCGATATAAAACCCAAACGAGACGCAGTAAAGCACTTAGTTGAGCTACAGTCTAGAGCCGGTGCGATGAGCTGTGAAGTGCACTACGATGCCGCCTCGCGGACCTGGTTTGGGCCGCGGGGCAAGGACTTTTACGGCCCGGAGATGACCCTGGGCGAGGTCATTATGCGTGTCCTGCAGATCAATGCCGACCAGGTGATGCAGCACTGTGATCCCACTGGCCAACAACTCACTGGCAGCCAGCTGGCCCAGCAAAGTGCCCGCATAGCACAGGCGTTTAAGCGACTTGGGCTACGACGTGGCGATGTGGTGGGGATCTCGGCCAACAACTCCACCTATCTGACCAGTGTGGTTATTGCGGCTTTGTTGCGGGGTATCCCCATCAACCCTCTGCATCCGGAGTTTACAGAAGGTAGGCTTTTCCTCGGAGGGGTATTCCAACCTCGATTAAATTATTTTATCCTTCTCCAGAGACTGTCAAGTATATGTACGACATTACCCAACCAAGAATTATCTTCTGCGATGTGGAAAACTACTCCGTCATCCATTCGGTAAATGAGAAACTGGCCTACCCCGCGAGACTTTACTTGGTCAATGGAAAAATCGAGGGGGTGCTCGATGTCAGTGAACTTCTCAACGAAGATGAGTCAATCACAGCAGCAGCGTGAGTTTAATGACGGCTCTCCCTAATTAATTTCCTTGGCATTTATTTCTCAATTATTATTAGCTATGTGCCCTGTCCAAAGTTGCACGGAGACCACACTGCCTTCATTGTTTGCTCCTCGGGAACTACGGGAATGCCAAAGGGAGTCACCCGCTCTCACAGAAGCTTGCTCTGCAATTGTAAAAAGTAAAAGATATATTTTCTTCAAAAGAAAAAGAAGGCCTCACAAACTAATTAAAACATTTCAGTCCAAACACCTACACCAGAGACAGCATACTGTTGTCGTTTAGTCCTCTCTACTGGATATCCGGAACCATTATCCTTCTGGCCTCTCTCCTCAACGGCTGTCGGCGCATCATCACCAACCGGCCATACAGTGTTCAGTATTTGCTGCAACTGGTGGTCAACCATAAGGTGACCTTCATATTCCTGGCCTCCCACCAAATAGCCCTGCTCTCCAAGTACGACACCGATCCGATGAAGCTCAAGGCTCAACTCCAATCCGTAAGGGTCCTAATTGGGGCAGGCTCCAAGGTTTGCAAGGCAGTCTCCCGAAGGATGTACGACCTGATTGGCAGCCAAAGGTTTATCGTGGGCTACGGCCTGTCCGAGATGGGGGGTCTGAGCAAGAACGTGGGTGGGCCCTTGGGCTGCGAGGGAAAGGTGATGCGCAACGTGGAGCTGCGGGTTTTAGACAAGCTGAAGATGCCACTGGGCATCAACGAGGTGGGTATTGTCTATGCCAGACTCCGGTACAAATGGGAAGGCTACTACCGAAATCCGGAAGCCACTCGAAAGGCTTTGAGCTCGGATGGCATGTGGTTTCGCACTGGAGACATTGGCTATCTGGACAGCGAGGGCCACTTGTACATTCAGACGCGGGACACCGACGTCTTTAAGTTCAACAATTTCCAAATCTACCCGGAGCAGATCGAGGAGTTTATCCTGCAGCTTCCGGGTGTCAGCGAGGCCTGTGTCTTTGGCGTACCCGACGACGTGTCCACCAATCTGACGGCCTGTGCCGTGGTCCGCAACAAGAGCCTGGAAGGGGAGCGCCTGCAGGCGGACCACATCCGGGACGTTGTGGAAAGGCATTTGAGCGGAGCCTACCACATCCGGGGAGGGATCTACTTTGTGGACAGCCTGCCCAAGACCTCCAACGACAAGCTCCAGAGACGCAAGGTCTGGGGCCTCATCCAGAAGCTGGAGCTGAAGGCTCATTGAAGATTGTTGTTTTGAAATCCTAGAATAAATCGTAGATACCATATCCTCCACTTTCGTGTTACCTCGACCCACTGTCCTTGCCCCAAGGCTGATGGCTAACTAATGCCAAAGACTCAATGAATTCTAATCGAGATTCAAATTGTAAAAGCCCTGCCCAAGAATTGGCGGGAAACAGGCCGACTTATGTGTCACCCGCTCTCGGGTCTCGAGCCTGGGACTCCGTCGACGCCAATGACAAGCAATTTGTTATTTGTGGCACCCCTGTGGCTCCGACTTCATTGCCAGAGGCAGTGAAAACATCGACTCGGACAGATATTCTACATAAAATGAATTGAAAAATTAAAATTGCAATATGCAATGGGTGTTGGGTGATAGCAGTTGGTCGGTGGGCGATGGGTGATTGGTAGAAACATACATATTTTATTGGTTTCTGTTTCTGTTTGGGGTTTTTAGGACTTTTAGGACCGAAGCCCGTCTGAACATTTTCGACATTTGACAAATGCCGAAATGAAATGCTCGACAAAACACGATTCAATTTGCTTTTTGCCAAACCCAAGCCCTTGGCTCAATATTGTAGTGTAATGGCATCAGTTAGCGAAACGAGTGAGGTTGTGTGGGGGCGGGTATGACAGGGAAATAAGCCATAGAGCCACATGGTCCTGCCGGATCTAGTCTGTTTTGGCCTGGTCCTGGTCCTGGTCCGGTTCCAGTCTCGTTCGCTATCTGTGGCCGTCTGCATTCTGCAACTAATGCGGATTATCCATGGGCTTTGCATACTGCACCCAAGGTGTAAATTTGTGTGCCAGGGATTTGCATGGCCAACGAATAACTGAATGAATCAAGGCAAACGTAAGTCGGTGAGTCGGTGAGTGAATGAGTGAATGAATGAGTAGGTGAATGGACCGTCTGAAGGCACCTACCACCACCAGACACCGACATGCTTAACAATTTCCGCTTAAGGGATAAGCCAATGGAGTTCAAATTGCGTATCCTTTTACACAGTTCACTTCCGTCTTTCGCAATCTCCAAGCTAGAAATAGAACTATTATTAAAGAATAAATCTCAATAGTCCTTAAATCTTTCCCTAGAACTCGTAGTAGATACACTCGTAGTGTTGTATGCAATTGTGACCTCAATTTATTAGAGTATTTATTTAGAACAAACACATGCTATAGTTTTGTCTCTTAAATGCCGTAGTTAAACATATTTTGTTATGCAATTGAATTTGACCAACAGGTAAACAACCAGGACACACATGTGCATAGCCATATTGTTCCTATTGTGTTTACATTTTTGCATTCACAAATACTTCTGGTAAATGGAATAAAAAACAGCATAAAAAAGGAGCACAATTTATGCTTTAAAGTTTCATCAAGGAAATGCACAGCATATGGAATCATGTAAACAAGAACAACAATGACTGTACCGAGGAAACTGCAACAATAACCAAACTCCCCCTCTCGAACCGGCCCAATTCCGAACACTATGTAGAAGTTTTCGGTGTTTCCATGTTTTCCTGTAATTAAACAAACATTTTCGAAGCCCGGGGTGGATCTGTGGCGGAAAAGTGATGGATAGCTCGCCAGAAAGAGACTGCAACATATCCCGCATATGTCGCGGCGCATGTCCTGGGCCGTTGAGCGTGTCCTGTGCCTCGATCGGTGGCTCGTACATCTGCCGCACGTTGATTTCGCCTCAGAGGGTTGAAATGTTTGCCGAAACTCAAGGTGGTGGCAACTATTAGAGGGTCCACAATCAAGCCGAAAGCCGTTACTTTTCGACATAATCAAAAATTCAAATAGAAGTACATTTGTTGGAGAGGAATTAAGATTGTTTTGTAATTGGCTTCTCTTGTTTTGTTTCAAACTTTAGGGGTAAATAGTTATCACAGATCATTCCTGCATTAAATAGAGAGTTCTAACCCCAACCCTTTATGGAAAGTCCTTCATCCAGACAGTTCCGGAGACACGTGTGACAGGAGAAACAAAAACCACAAGTGGATGCATTGTGTATGGTGTGTTGGGGCAATATTTAACGGAGGTGGTTTCCCTCCAGGGTCCAGCTCTGGGGCCACATTCAAATCAACTTCAGATTCATGCAACTTTTATGCCCATCTACGAAATCCCTCACACAACCACCTTTTGGGCCCACTGGGCGCAGGACACGTGCATCTGACTTGTGGTCAGAATCAGGTTAAGTCCCCGAAGCATGCACAGAAACAAATAAATTATACTCTTCTTTATATAAATTTAATGTTGAAGGGTTCTTCTAGTTGGAATTCCTCTTTGTGTAGGAAAAGGTGTGCGTGGTTAACATTACATTGGTCCTAGCAATGGTCAGGGACATCTCGTCCGTGTTTGTCGGTTAATAAAATGTATATTTTTGTTGCCTTGTGGCTGCCTAGCCCCCCACACCCCACACAGGGTGGAGACCACCCCCTTTGGCTTCTGTGCATACATTATTCGTCCTTTATTGAGCATTTTATGCGATTTCCCGGTGTCGACCTGCTGCGCCTGATGCTTTTATCTCCTCAATGCGCTCGAGCGTGCCCAGGCTGCCAATGAGGCATAAATTCTTGATTTCACGCACTTTTGATTGATGGCAAAGGATGTGCGAAAAATCGTCCACAACTGTGCCGGCGAAGGACGATGGGGGGCTGCCGGCTTGAAAATCTCTGAAAACGCCGAAAACACACAAATTCGCAATCGGATTTCGTGTAAAAGCTGCGGGCCACCAACAAGATAAACAGAAAACTTATCCTCTCGCACAATAGAACCCAAAAAGCAGGCATATCCTTTATGGGATGGTGTGACAAAAATAGGTCCGATAAGATTTTAAATGGAAAAAAGGTGCATTTCCAGCTCAGCGGGAAACGCAAAGAACTTAACAGGCCTTTCCATCCGGGATTTCAGAGTCTAAAAAAAAAAGTGGCTTAAGAATCGAAAGCTACCAATTGCCTGTAAGGATATGAATAAAATATAAAACAATTTATGTTTGTTTAGAAAAAATAAGAAAATAATTTTGGTGGTGAGACTTTCTTTTATAAATAACTGCAAGTCTTATATACAAATTATTTCTTTTATGACTTTTTTAAGGAAATTCCAAAGTCGTATTCCAACCCTGTTTCACATGCATATGTTAAAAAGTCCTTGAATTCAAAAGCTGATAGTTTCTTGTCGTTTATCCTTCAAAGGCCAAGACGAGGATCTGCAGATGTTCGGCTTTAATTTCTTTGGGACAGGAAGCCCACCACCGGAAAAGTTTCTTTGGCCAAGTGGGAGTAGAACCACAAAAGCAAAAGGCCTACACTGAAGAAAATCCATTTTTTAAGATTATAGTTAATTTTAAGATATTTAAGAACGATTTTATAAGTATAAGTATATTTAAGTACCTAGTTTTTAATTAATTTTTAACCAAATTATATAATAACATTTTTATTAATTTTGAAAAGTGTTTTTAGAGAAAAAAGGACGCGTGTCTTAACGCCTGCCGACCTTCTGTCCCGCCACGCTTCGCAGCACCTACGCAAGATAGGACAGAGTGCGGGGTAGGGGCCGGGATAAGGGTTGGGCGGTGGTAGGAGTCGGAACAAGGGTGGTAGGAAGAAGTCCTGGCACACGCCGGCGTCGCAGTTGAGCGCGTCTTGGTCAGGGCCCACTGAATAATAGTTCACTTTTCATCGCAGATAAGGAAATATATAAATAAGCATTCTGAAATGGCAGATCCCCTTTCCGTCCGCCTCCAGCCCCTTTCTCATTTGGCTAGGCTGTCTTCCAGTTTCTCTCCTTCATCTGGGTGGATTATAATTTCTGTAGACACGCAACTGAACGCCCACGGACGGCAACGTTTTGGCCAAAACACTGGCAGGGAATTCATCATTAAATTACGACTGCCAGGACAAAAAAAAAATACAGAAATAGGAGAAAGAAGCCACAGCAGTAGACGATGGAAAAATCATTTATCCTGCGCCCTGGACCAAGGCTGTTGAAAGGAGCGAAATTTTCATAGAATATTCCCGCCATGTTTGTCATGCAATGCGAGGGAAAAACAAACCACCGCCCCCGATTCCCAGATTCCCAGATTCCCCGATTCCCCCGATTCTCCGATTCCGGAACGGGGCTTAGTTCATTTACTGGCAGAAAAATAAGCTTGCCTTTGCTTTATTTAAGCAAATATTTGACTCTGCCCTGCGATGCAGTGGAGCAAACGTTGAAAGCTTAAAGCATAAATCAATATTTGTCACACCGAATGGGGAGCTCATCACATACAACGAGTTTTTTAATCGCATACAGGAATGTTTGGGGATGGAAAGGCGATGCCAGGTTCTGGGCCGATAAGATATAGGCCAGGTGGAGTCGGAGTTGGGCAAACAATCGGGCTCGGCTCCGATAAGGAGTGTGAGCTCTCCAACTCGACCTCCAGCTCCACAAAAAATGTATAATATTTATTGCCTGGAAATCAGATGTGCTTGCTTCTCTTTTGTATTTAATTTTATGATTCTTTTACTTTTTATGAAGCTGTCTGAAAATCTGAAAAAAAACAGTAGCAATAGTCGATATCAAAAGCGATTTAAATATTAAACAAATACAAACTATATTAAATGAACTAAAAAATGAAACCAAGCCATTAATAGAAATAATCGAAGCCTCTGATCGCCACCTTGTTAAGCCATCATCTCCGAAATATGGCCAGGAAACTAAACTCCCAAGTCAGTTAGCTACTGGTTAGCTACTGTTGCCCTTAAGTAGCTTTGGCAGTATCTAAATTACATGGCCCACTGGCTGGTACTGGCTGGCCAGATCCTGGCTTATATCCGATTCTGGCCATCTGGGCCGGGTCTGGTCTGGTCTGGTCGGATTTGGCCTGTGCTCGGAGCTACATTCAATTAATTTTACACGATGTAGCGAAAATCCAGCCCAGAAGCATAACGGAGCTGGAGGGCTGGGCGGCTGGGGGGACTGCAACAAAACTAACGATAATTTTGCAACGGAAAGTGGAAAGTGGCGGCGGGAACGGAGTG